CCCTCTTTCTGCTTAGATACAGTGTGCACATTGCTGTCTATACAAAATATATGTCTAATCAGGTTTCTTTTACCTCCTGAGCCTCTTTTGTGGTATTTCACTTTGTTTGTAGAAGAATCTTCTAGTATTCCTCCTCTTAAAAAATTATGAGCCAGCCAGTGGCGTTGAACACCTTTAATCCCAAAGGAGCAGAGACAGTTGGATCTCTGAGTTCAAGGCCAGCCCCGGTCTACAGAGTGAGTTCCAGGACAGCCAGGGCTACACAGAATCCCTGTCTCAAGAAAACAAAATAAAAAAAAAAAAACAAATAAAAAATTGTGATAAAAAACCTATTAAAATTTATTATTTGTCAGTTTAAGTGTCAATGCTTTTCATCTTGTAAAGCTGGAACTGTATATATATCAAAGAGTTGTACGTACACTTGGTCCCTGGGAACCATTCTGCTTTCTACCTCTCTGACTACTCTAGGAATCTTATATAGATGGAGTCATGCAATGTGTGTCCTCTCTGCCTCTGACTACTCTGGAAACCTAACATAGATGGAGTTATGCAGTGTATGTCCTTTTGTGTTGAGCTTGTTTCACTTGGGTTTATCCATGTGTACATGTGTCAGAACCACATTCCTCTTGAAGGCTGGGTAATATCCCTTTGCATGCATGACTCAGTATGACATTGGAGTGCTGTGTGGTTTTGCACCTGTCAGCCCTGCCAGCCTCCTCACTTTGGATGTCCTTACCTCCTGCTTTCTCCACTCTAGTCACACTGCCTTTTTCCAGTCTCTGGGAAAAGATCAGGCATGCGTCTTCTGTAGTGTATGTCAGCCAGCACAGGATCTGCCACAGACCATAAGGGGCTCATCTATTGCTTGAGAAGCAAACAGGTACAATTTAGAGTGGACACACAGGCGCCTGGAACACAACATGAGTACACACTCCCAGAGCCCCATGAATATGAGCTGCAGATGATCAGATGTATTAATCATTGGGCTGGAAAGGGATTAGGACATTTCCATAATATCATGTGGTGTGTTTCTTTTTCTAAAACAGATGTGCTCTTGTTGCTTCATGAGGAAGCAATTAAATTTGTTTGATTAAGACATCCATAAACACCATCATGTATTTGAGGCTACTATATGCTGCTGTCTTTGTTGGTACTTTATCTCTGTGGTATCTGCATCTCTGAACCACTCTTTGATTAGGTGGCTTTCTGGTGGATACCTGTCTTGTGGGTGACACAGTTGCCCTAGGTGTTTGCTCTTATATCTACTGCACAGTGCAAGCTCAGTGCATCTGCCCTTCTTCCTGTTGGCCTTTCCTGTGCCCAGTATTGCCAGCTCTGCTCACCTCTTCCCCCATTCTTAATGCATTTCCCTCTCTTTCTCACAGTATGTTTTTCGACAATTGGCTGTCTATTTGAATCCTAAAACATGTTTTTTTGACAACGTTAGTAATAGTTATACACTGTTACACTTAGAAACTGATATTAGTTGGTGGTAAGAACATTTATGTAAAATAATACATTGTATTAAGGCCACATTGCATGTAATGATTTCATTTTTTATATACCCTTTTATTCTTCAGGCTTTTTGAGTCCCAATTTATGCTTTTTAAAATGTGTGGGTTTTTTTTCTTCCATTTGAAATATAAACAAAGCAGTGTAAAGTTAGTTAGCTTTCTTTATTAAAGGTTTCTCAACAGTGGGGTACCTACTGCAAATTATGTATGAAACACAAGATTGAAGTACTTCAAGAAGGTCTTTTTGGAGAGGTTTAAGGGGTTTCTTCCATCCTTAGCTTCATTTCTTTTCCACCCCTCCTAGTGTTTCAACAGGATTAGGTTTTTTGAATCAGTGGATCAAGTTTTAATTTTCTTGTTCCTTCCTTATACTGACATATGCTTTGGCAAAACAAAAAAGAGACCTAAACATGTCAGCATGATTTTTGTTCAGTGAATTAAAAACCATAAAAGTAATAAGATCAGATCCAAATCCCTAAACTCCTGACATGGTGGTTTTATCCTTTTCAGGCCCAAGCTCTTATTACAATTTTGAAAGCTTTCTGCCTGGAAGCACAAGTTTATGATTTGTTTGAAATAGATTACAAGAATAAAAGCCAGAAAGATCCAGGTTTGAGTTTGTTTTGTTTTTGAGACAGGGTTTCTCTGTATTGCTTTAGAGCCTGGCCTGGAATTTGCTCTGTAGATCAGGCTGGTCTTGAACTCACAGAGATCTGCCTGCCTCTGCCTCCCGAGTGCTGGGATTAAAGGAGTGCGCCAACCACTCCCTGGCCAAGATACAGGTTTGAATCCCTGTCCTGTCACTCAAGCCCATGAGCCAGTTCACTTAACATTTCTGAGACTCAGTTTCTTCTTTAGGAAAAATGGGACTCTTAGTTTGAGGAGGGGTTTGGAGGGGATCAGTGAGGTCACATAACTCAGCTGTCTGCTTAGTCTTCAGAGCTTTTCTTTACTTAAAGTTCTTTTTGTCATGGAAGAAAACAATATGGAAATGCCATGAAATATTTAACATATGTCCTTAGTGATACACACCGAGCATGTGCCCAGAACTTGGAAGGGTTCTGCGACTGAATCACCATTGCTGTGCCTAGAACTTGGGACTGTGCTTACTCAACTCACCCAGAGTTGTTGTTCTGAGGGGTCAGGAAGCATTGCCAGTGATAACCACTTCAGGGCAGAAGATTTTGTTATAAAATCCATCAATGGCTTTTGAGACAGGCCATTCTGGGTTTGATTTCAATTAATACACCAAATTTAGGCTGGGCCTGGCAATGCAAAATTGTAGCACTCTGGAGATTGTGGGTGGCATAGTGAGACTCTGTCTCAAAAAAATCCAAATAGCAACAAAGATGCCACATTTGGCTAGACCTCATTTTCTTCATCTACAAAAATGTGTTGTGTGCTGGCTAGTGTTATGTCAACTTGAGGGCTAGAGTCATCAGAGAGGAGGGAGCCTCAGCTGAGAAAATGCCTCCATAAGAGCAAGCTGTAGGCAAGCCTGCGGTTCTTAACTAGTGACTGATAGGGGAGGGGCTGGGAGGGCCCAGGCCATTGTGGGTGCCATCCCTGGACTTGTTGTGGCCCTGGGTTCCATAAGAAGGCAAGCTGAACAAGCCAGTAAGCAGCACCCTTCCATAGTGTCTTCATTAGCTCCTGCCTCCAGGTTCCTACCCTGTTTGAGTTCCTGTCCTGACTTCCTTCAGTGAACAGTGATGATGAGTGTAAGCCAAATTAACCCTTTCCTCCCAAGTTGCTTTTGGTTGTGGTGTTTCATCACAGCAATAGTGATCTGACTAGGACAGGGTTTGTGATAGAATAAGACAGTCAGCTTGCAAGCCTTCAGCTCTGGTGATTCCTTTTGTTCTTATCTGCTCTTCGTGGTTCCTCAAATTAAACATGAGTTCCATGTGCCTCAAAGCTTTTTATACATGCATTTTCTTGGAAATCCTTCTTGTCCTACCAGCACTAGAAACTTGAACTTATCTTCAGATCTCATGAAATGTATTAGTTAGGATAGTATGGATTCTAGTGCAGTAACAAGCAATCCCCAATCACCATGGTTTATAACACATCACCATTGATTGTAACAGTAGACATGTATTTCCAACACTGTGTTAGGCACTATTCTTTATAGTCATCCTGTGCAGATGTACACTCTATCTCAACTTGTACTGTGATCCAGATAAACAAACGTGTCCTCTGGAAGCTTCTGTCCTGAGCTGATACCAACAGTTTTACACACACTTCCTTAGATCATGCAAGTTGTGTAGTCTATAATTTCAGTGTAGGAATATGTGTTCCTACGAATGCCTATGAGCAATAGACCCAGAACAGTGGTGAGTGGGCCTAGTGACCTGCCACATTTAGATGTCATTTCTCGGGGACAAGTTTGTTGAGCCTAGCTGCTCCTTCCTCTGTGGCCACTTTTCTTTTCCTACTTCTGTCACTACAGCACTTCTTACACTCTGATGAATGTCTTTTTGCCTCTCTTTAAGTTCCGCAGGAGCTGGATAAAGGTCTGTTGTCTTCATCCAAATCCATTACCTCAGCTCCTGATACTCAGTGTTCATAAAATGGGAAAGGAAGGCAGGGTATTTGTGATGGACTGCCTTTCTTAATGGTTTATGTTCATTGTCATGATAATGAAGATATTGATAATAAGAACTGACATTTATCTAGATGGTGCATGCCATAACCCCAGCACTCAGCAGGCAAAGGCAAGCAGATCTCTGAGTTCCAGGCCAGTATGGTGTACAAAGTGAGTTCAAGGCAGCCAGGGCCACACACATGCACACATGCATGAATGAAACAAAAACAGACTGACAGCATTTATCAAGCCCTGATAAGATGCTGGATACTTTCAGAAGTGCTTCTGAGTCAGCTGGTGCTGCAGTTGTTATGTGATACACATGACTTATGTTATGTCATGGTCTTGAGGTTGATTCCTAAGTATTTTGTTATAATAACCAAGATGGTGAAGGTTGAGTGAAGGTTGAAGGTTCATCAATAGCATTATTTCTGTCTGTAGTGTCCCTTATTGGCAGTGCTGTGGAATGGAAAGGAAAAGCATTTTAGAGGAAGGGAAAGCTAATTGAGGCTAATTGGTTCCTTTTATTGAGCATTTAAAGCATGTCAGCATCAGTGGTGAGTCACATGTTCATCTTAGTCCCTTCTGCCATTAGATTTTAGGGGACAGCTGGGGGTTTCAAGAAGACTTTTCTGCATCTTGAGATTTGACGCTGGGTCCACCTAGTCTATCTGGTTCCATAATGTCTCTTACTTATTTTTCCAGATAATTCTCCAGGAACTAAGCATGGCACTGGCATCTGTCACATGTGTGAAGGTCATCAGCTGACAAAGGCTGTAGACTCTTGAGCTAGTGAACTGAGTGCTGATAAATTCTTAGCTGGAGGTCAGCATCGTACAAGAAAGAATAGTTTTGTTCAATTTGTGTGTGTGTGTCTTTTTTTTTTTTTTTTTTTTTAGAGTAACCAGGGAACACAGAGAAATGCTGGTAAAACTGGCCAAACAGAACACCAACAAGGCCAAAGAAAATTTACGGAAGGTTCGAACTAATGCAATGAATAAGCTGAAGAAATCAAAGGACAAAACATCGGAGGACACCATCAGGCTCATAGAGAAACAGGTACTGTTGCCAACATATGTAGTATTTATGTATCTGACCCAAGGAGTCTGTGTCCTCATGTCAGAAGCAAGGACAGCAAAATGGAATGCCTCTGGTCATTTTATTTACATGATCAACACTAAGTCTCTGTTATTAGTCTAGCCTGTGCTAGACCCTGGGAGGATCCACAGGAGAGGAAAGGAGGCTATTGGTCCTTGATTGTGTGCTAGGCTTTGTGCTGGACACTTGACCTGATTTTCTCTCATCGTATTCAAAAGGCCCTGGGTTCAGTCCCTATTGGTAAAACAGCAGCACAGCAGAACTGTAAGAGGAGAGTGAGGAGACCTGGTTCAGAGAAGTTTGGGAACCTGTTCAAGCTCTTGCTGATAGTGGTAGAGATAGTAGCCAGACCTAGGGCCGTTTGCCTTGCCGTCTCTATTTCTGACTGCAGGGGAGTGAGCAGCTGTGCTCTCTGTGTGCTGAGTGCTAGTGCTCCTGGAGTGAAATAGTGAAAGGCCCGGAGCCAGGTAGATCAGCATGTGCAGAGTTGTGGTGATGGGAAAGAACATTTTCCACTTGGGCCAGCAGGGCTTAACCCTAAGATGGGTGGGAGCAATGAGTGAGGAAGCAGAGTAGCCACATCAGAAAAGGTCTTCTGTACAAGTGAGGAATTTGAATGTGAACAATGTCCAGAGCATTTCCTCACTGGCTGTGCTTCTGTGTCAGTTAGCAGCAGCCACAATAATGGTGCATAACCAGCTACCTAAAACTGGATGATTTCATTCTTACTCTCCTTTCTGTGGGCTAGCTGGGGCCAGATAGTTCTAGGTTGGGCTTGTGAGTTCAGCTTCAGACCATAGATTGGGCTCAAGTTTGCTTTATATATCTTACAATATTACAGAGTGAACAAGTGCCCAGAACACCCTTTCTTGGCAATAGCAGATATTAGTTCTATAAATCCAACCACCTAACCGCATTTGAAGGACCTGATCTTGCCGCTTCCCATTGGCTAAGCTTGTTACATGGGCCAAGTCAGATAGCATGCTGCCGAGAAGTATATATTTACTTCATAGAGGTCTGAAGGGTATATGTGAACATTTGATGAATAATACTTTGCCCTTAGGAAAAGTGAAGATGTTAAGGAATTAGGGAATGACCCAGTTGGTAACATGTTTTCTGTGCAAGGACTTGAGTTAGATCCCTCAGAACCCACATGCAAAGGTGATATGGAGGTGCTTGCCTATAATCTCAGCATAGAGGTTGGAGGAGGTGGGATAGGAGGAACCCTGGGACTCACTAGCCAGACATTCTAGCTAAAGGTGAGCTCCAGGTTCAGTGAGAGACCCTGACCCAAAACCCAGGATGGTCTTCACACTTGTGCCCACACATGTGCACTAGTACCCACTCTCTAGGCAAGTGTCTGAGGCCTGCTCCCAGATACTGAGTCAGTGAATCTGGAGTGGTCCAGGAATATTTTACTGCTTTCCAGGCAGTTTTCATACAGTAACCTTCTTAAAAGGTCTCCATTTTCAGACAATGAAATCAATGCATGCCTAGGAAAAGTAACTCTGGTATCTAGGTAGAGAACATTGTAGGGGGCAAGATTGGAGGGAAGAAGGGAAATTTGTCAGGATTTAGGAGATGAAATAAGTAATGCCATACAAAGTATTTGGTAGGCCTCAGAGCTGCTGTGTTCACAGTGAAAACATCTTAGGAAAGCTGGAGAAAAAATGGGGTGGGATGAGGCATGAACGAAGAAGCAAGCAGAGCTGGAGAATTGGGGGAGGCCTGGGGGAGGCATGGAGTGAATTGCTGCTTTCATTTTGGCCCTGCAGTTAGCATTCCGGTTGTAGGTCAATCAGCAGTCACCTAGGGGAATTTTGGTTCCTGGGCATCGTTCTGATTAAGTTTATTGCCTAGAGATGGTGTTCTTAAAAGGTCTTATATTGTGTGTACATGTGTGTTTATGTGGGAGATATACAGGTAAGTGCAAGTGCCTGCAAAGTCCAGAAGATGTCCGATCCCCTGGAGCTGGAGTTACAGGTGGCTAAAGCACCTGATGTGGGTGTTGGGAACTGAACTTGGGTCCCCTGGGTCTCTCCAGCTTTGAAACATGCATTTTAAACTATTTCTCTGATAATTCTGCAAAAGTGTACTGTGAAAGAACCAGAAGCTTGCAGTGCAAAAGGAAAGCCGCTCTGCAGCTGATCCTCTGTGACCTTGGAGAAATTACTTGACCCTTGGGGTCTGTTTTCCTATAAAAAAAAGTTTGGTAATTTCTCCCTTGAAAGGGCTCATGGGATGCTAGAAGGTGCCATTAGGATGCCTAGTATTTAAATCTCAGATCTCCCCTCTTGCTGTCTTTCTGTCCTCCTGTGTTTGCTCAGAGGGACAGTCATAGATCAGGCTGTCCTTCTCAGAGCACTGATCAGGGCTCAGAGCCTGCTCCTCCTTGGTATCCTAGGGGATACTATCTCTGCAGTGAACACTTGGCCCTTGTGTTGCTTCCTGGTAGTAGGCTGTGGACTTGCCAAGCTGTCAGACTACTCCCTCAGCAAGTCAGAGTCTTGTCTTAGAGTGCAGAGCATATGCTCCTTGAAGAGGAAGAATGTCCAGATGCTGCTGGGTGCTCTGGTTCAAACCCATTTGGCAAAGACTTGACAGGAGTCTTCCTCATAACCACTGGCTTCCCACCCTTTTCAGATTATACTTTCTTTCCAGTGCTTCCTATTCATTATTCTTTCTAGGTGGAAATTCTTTGTTTTTTGATACTAAACTGATACCTGGTTAGTGTGAGAATGAAGACAGTCATTGACTCCATAAGAGGTGACCAATATCTATCTCAGTGTGCTCCACAGGCTGTGCACTGTATCAGGTCTCTCTGGTGTAAAAGTCTGGGTGAAGAGACGTGATTTCTGTGTTACTCTTACCTCCTTGTTAGCATAACTTAAGCTGTGTGGTTGAAGTTTGCATGGAGCAGTCCTGTGCACTCTGCAGTGTGTTCCTCTCTATTTGGGTGGCACCAAAGGAGTTTCTGCTTTTGGATTGCTTTTGCTTTGCTTTATAAAATAAAGCTGTTGGCTGATTGTTGCTTCAACAGTTTAAATTTTTCTTTGTTCCTAGTTATCAAAGTAATATCTGCTCATTATAAAGAATGTAAAATGTGAAGACTGTTTCACACTGTGGAAGAGAATCATCCCATAAACGCAGAGGTGCCACTCAGCATTTTGAAATAGTCCTTTTCTTTTTTTCAACACATAGTTTTAAACAATATTGAGTATGTACAGTATACATAAACTTTTGAGTACAGGTTTACTTTTTCATTTTTAATAAAGGCATTAACTGTTTATGTGTTTGAAAATATTTTGTAAATGACCACTCTAATGATTGCTGAATAGTTCATCTTGTGTCCATATACAAAATTATCTTTTAGAAGATCTGCTTATAGATATTTTTATTTAAAATAACTTTATATTAGTGAGGTTACAGTGAGTATGTTCTTTATAAATCTTTGTGTTTTTTGGGGGTAGAACATACCAAGTGTAGAACACTGAATAGAGAAAAGCATAGGTTTGTTTCTGTGTTTTCTCCTCAGTGCTGGGGATTGACCTCAGAGCCCTGCATACACTCTGTAAGTGGTCTAACACTTAGCTCTACCCCCAGCCCAGAAATGCATTGTTCTTAATATATCTTTTTAGAACCACTTCAAGTTTAGAGTATGTGGGTTTTTTTTTTTTTTTTTTTTTTTACCTCTTCTCTCACACACACATGCATGGTTTTCTTTCTGTATCTGAGGTGGGACTCAAATTCATGATCCTCCTGCCCCCACCTTCTGAGTGCTGGGATTACAGGTGTACACCACCCTACCAGCTTATTTTACCTTTCACTAGACTCTGACATTTAGACCGAGTTTTTGTTTTTATGAGACAGTACCTTGCTATGTAGCCCTTATTGACCTGGTAACTCCTTATGTAGCCCTGGCTGGCCTCAGATTCATCGCAGTCTTTCTGTCTTCATCTCCTGAGTACAAGTATTGCAGACATGTGCCACCATACCTGGCTGAACTAAAAAAAGTTTTAATGTGAGCTTACACGTTCTTTTGCTTGTCATCTTTTACACTCTAAATGGTTTTTAAATGTATTTATTTTTTAAATAAACTTTATTATTAAAAAAGCTACACTAAAATTAACCAGACTAAAAGTCTATGCATCCCACTGAATTTTTATGCAGTTATTATAACCATTCTAGGGGCTGAAGAGATGGCTCAGCACTTAAGCGCACTGGCTGCTCTGTCAGAGGCTCTTAACAGCAGCCACAAGGTGACTCTCAACCATCTGTAACTCCAGTCCTAAGGGATCTGACAACCTCTTCTGGCCTCCCTGGGGACCAAGTACTCATGTAGTACACAGGTGGACAGATAAAGCACCTATGTAGTTGTTTTTTGTTTTTGTTAAGGCCCTCTGTACCTGTGGTGCTTCATATTGTATTTTACATTTTTTACTGTTGAACTTATTTTTATGCATTTATCAACCACCATGACAGGTTAAAACTAGAAAAACCATTAGCTTTATATGCTCTTTTATAATTCATTAGTTTGTTCTTGTTGAATCTTTATACCTTCCTAGAAAACAGTATGACAGATGCTGCAGCCATTTATTTCTGATTTATAATTTAGGAATATAAAATTTCAACCTTAACCTCCCAGGGCTGCATGCATCATCAGTGTGTTATTTATAATAATAGAAAACTAGGAACCAAGTTCTTGAAAATCATTGTTAGTGTCCACTGGAATCCCATTCATTGGAATCTATATTGAAGTTAGGAAAAGATTTCATTGACATGGAATTTTTTTAGAATTATTTATTTTTTTTCAAGACAGATTCTCTGTGTAGCCCTGGCTGTCTTGGAACTCTCTCTCTGTAGACCAGGCTGGCTTTGAACTCAGATGTGCCTGCCTCTGCCTCCTGAGTGCTGGGATTAAAGGTGTGTGCCACCATACTGATGAATTTATTATTTTTAAA